GGGGGGGGTCTCTCGTCCATCCTGCAAGCCGGTGCTCCTTGGATCACGACACCCGAGTCCCGAGCGATCCGTGCTGAGTGTCTTAACAGTTCCGATTTTTCAAGGGAGGAAGTATCAGAAAAGTTAACACCTTCTCGTTTTGCCGAACCGTGCCTGGGATCTCTGTTCTCTCTCTATTGAACAGTACCTAAAGCCTTCGAGAATACATGCAGTAGTACCTAAGAAATTTAGAATTTAAATTTGTAAAAGGCCAGTATTAACAGGCACGTTAGTCTGCCACCGTCATTCACGACAAAAGGTTTCTTCTCACATGCTTTACACAGCACAAGCTGTGATGGAATATAGGTGTGCATTAGAGATATAGGAATACGAATAACCTCATCTCTAGTGTGCATTCGAGAGGCTGTCGCCCCACTGTTAAATACCCAGTGTGTGTTTTTTTTTTACTAACTAACCACAATCTTTGTGTTTTGATGCCATTTATAAATATTTCCCATGTTATCTCCTTATTATGTCTGAGAAAGTGGACTTGCTCAGGAAAGCTCACATTAAAAATAGTCTTTAAGATGCCACCAAGTTTTTGTCTTTTTATTTGTTTTTTAATTTTTGTTTTTTACCTATAATTTTTTTAAGTAAGTCGTTAATGAATGGATTGTTGTTGTTGTTGTTATGTGTGGTCAAATCACTTCCAGCTTATGGTGATCCTCTGAGATGGTGACCTCCAAAAGGTCCTGTCATTAACAAACCTGCTCATTTCTTGCAAACTCAACACTGTGCTTTCCTTTATTGAGTTAATCCATCTTTTATTAGGTCTTCCTTTTTTTTCACAGCACTGTTGCCTTTTCCAGTGAGACTTGTTTTCTCATTATGTGTTTGAAGTACAATAGGTTCTGTATAGCCATTTTTTTTGCTTCTAGTGAAAAAAGATTGGATTAAATGTTCTTGGTAGTTTTTTTTAACTTACTTTGACCTGAAAGTAATACAAAGAAGGGAATATGAAGAGGGCAGGTTCTAATGCTAATGTTGCACAAAACTGCCACAGCTAGACTAAAACAAATGCATGTCACTTGACTGTGCAAAGGAAGGTGAAAGACTTTATTAGGACTTTTTATTGGTGTTGTATCTGTCATGGTGGACTCTCAGAATAATGAAGGTCTGGGGAAGCTGTGTGTGGGATGTTGTGATCCCTATTTGCCAAGCAACCGAGAGTCTTTTTAAGATATGAGTACTAATGAAATGGAAAAGTCTTGTATCAGTGTGTCTTGTTTTCCCAGTTTTACTGCTTTATTGAGGCCTGCTTGATTTGGTTGCTTACACACAATAGCCCTAACGCTTAAGCCTCTTGGCTGGTGGGAGTTAAGATGGACAGATAAACTCGAGTGATTGGGAAGGACGGAGTCCGTCCTGGAGACCCTATCACCAGTGACAAACTCTCAAAGAGGGCATTTTAGGTGCAGGTGATGGGCAGAATACAGTATATGTTGGGTCCAAGTGTTTGCTCTTTTCCCTGTGAGACTTCAGAATTGGATCCCCTGCCATACACACACCTACCAGAGATGAAAACAGATATGTCTGCCCTTCCTAGTCTGTGCAGGTTGACAGTACTGTACTTTAAATATGACAGATTTCTCTGTTTCACCCTCCTTGCCCTCTGACCCTGATTTTTCCACCTGTATGTTATATTAGCTAATGTCAAATCTGTTGTACGTATTGTGGGTGCTGACTCATAATTTGATTGTTGTCACTGTGATGATGTTCTGTTTATGATGTAACAACTATCTGTGGTTTAATATAAATGTCATGTGCCTGTCAGGGGAATTATAACGTGCTGTCTACTGCCATAGTGCTTTGGAATTCTTCTCCTGCCAACCCTAGGGCCACATACCCAGGCCTCTGTGTGGCAACAAGGCCTAGTGAGCTACTGTTTACTAAAGTGGGTGATTGGTTAACACTTCTAGTAGGAAGAAAGAAGAGGCATCTTAGCTCACTGACTATAGACATTAACTACTAGAAGTAATCTTAAATGGTAGGGTTTGCAATCTGTTGTTATGCTTGCCCCCCCCCATGACTACTGGTTTCCCAATATGGACTCTGTGAGTGTGCCCACGGACATCCATGCATGCACATGTGTCCATCTTCCAGGGATGGAAGGAGAGGGTAGTGACTTATGTGATGAATCTAACCTCTTCTTGCTTGTGATAGTTGGTGAAGCCTCTGAAATCAGGACTTTGGATGCTTAGGGTTAGTATATATATAATATATATATTATATATATTAACCCTAAGCATCCAAAGTCCTGATTTCAGAGGCTTTACCAATTATCACATATATAAATCTGAGGAGAGCAGAGCCTGACATTCTAATGTCATTGTTTTTGTTTCAACTTATATACCACCCCATAGTGCTAGAGCATTTCTTCCATTACTGGGATTTTAAATCCATAGCTGTGAAAGGGCATATGGGCTCTGGTTTTGTTTCATAATACAATGTTTCTCTTTGCAAAAGAGTAGGATTCTAGTAAGGAATCCCTAAAATTGTTTTCAGGCATTTGCTCTGTCTAAACCACTAAACCCTTAAGCATAAACCCAAAATGTCTCCAGATTAAGTCTTAATTTTCAGTGCCTTAAGAATGCATCAATTCTCTCTTCCCCTCCCCACCCCGTAATATTGAAATATCTGGAACTTTTTTCCCTTTTATTATGGGAGTTAGTTTTGTTGGTTGTTTTTGGCCGAGTGAAGTACAGTAATTTGGTTGCACAGAGCTCTGTTGGTTCGTAGTGTAGTAACTGTGGAATGAAAATCAACTAGAATAGAATTTGATGCCTTAAGATAGGATAACATACTGTACAGTGTTTTAAGTTGGAACTCCAACTTTTTTTGGGGGGGGGGCAGGAGTGCAGAAATGATATAAACTAGAATTCACAGGGACACTTGACAACCAATATATCAGACTTCAGCCCATGTTGAACAATCGTTTTGGGTTTCAGAAAGAAGTGGCAGATCAACCTCCATACTTATTAATAAAGTAGAAATTCAGCATAGATAACAATATGGCATATTTAAGTTCATTTCTTTCATGCAAGTTACCCATAGTCATCTGTTTGGCCAATATGGAAATTGAATGCTATACTAGATAAGCCTTTGTCCTGATTCAGCATGTTCTCAAGTGCTGTGCTTGCTTGGTTCCATTATCATTTTAATACAAAGGACATTTTAAAGAACTTGAGCCTGTTCTTAAACCAGTGACACAAATTAGCATTGACCCTGCAGAGGTTTTGAGCTATTTAAATACACGCTCCTGTCCAGAACTAATTAATAATTTGCCTTTGTTGGTGTTCACACACAAAAAAATTTAATGCTTTCTCAAAGGCTTTCACGGCCGGGATCCGATGGTTGTTGTAGGTTTTTCGGGCTCTTTGGCCGTGTTCTGAAGGTTGTTCTTCCACAGTCTCTGTGGCTGGCATCTGCATAGGACACGAGTAGCACTCTGTGCATACAGAGCATGGACAGAGTTCCTACTCAGTCCTCTGAAGAGCCCGAAAAACCCACAACAACCACCTTTTCATTATGTTGCAAGCAGGCTTTATTGCACCACCTGAAAGAGGAAGCCAGAAGCAAGTAGGGTCATATGCTGGTTCCCCTACATTTGCTTTTCAAAAAAACCACTGCAGCAAAGCTGATCTCTGTGTGGCTTTGCTGTTGAAAGCTTCAGCAGCAAGAATAGAGTGAATTTCAAGAACAGCAGCAGCACCAGATGTATCAAGTCCCAGGAATAGCGAGCAGAAATATCTCTGACTCACTTGAAAAAGGCTTTCATGTGACCATTTGTTAGGTACATATGTATCATCTAATGATTTCAGCCCTATTTCTAGGCATTGCCGTAATGATTTATCTGTTAAATTGGATTATTTTGTTCCAACGTCACCATTTTAATTGTGTCTTTTCATAGAAGCCAGGTGAAAAAATAGCCTAGCCAATCATTTTGGGGGAGTTGGTTACCTGCCTCACACTGCTCCACATCTCCCTTATTCTTTCCAGTCTCTGATTCAAATTCTGTCCTCATGTTGCTGAGGTTAATAGTGACAATAAAGTTATGTATGAAGCCTCCAGAGAGCTGAATTTGTGTGACATGAAAGATCCACAGCCATAGCATCCTGCTGGGCACAGTCCCTGGTCAGTTGTAGACAACTTTTTTCCTTCACAGCAGACAGCTCGGTGGGTTATCTAACTGCCAGGAAAAGGGTCAAAAAAAGAAATACATATTTTATCAAATATCTATTCTGTTTTTGTTTCCCATTACTGTAGGCTTCTTATGGTACAGCTGTGGTACAGAAAGATTTAGATTAGATTAGGCATCCTCCAGTTTCGAGAGACTATGGTAACATGCTCTGTATGGAGGACTTGGAACAGTGCCTAGAGTGGCTGAGAAGGCCAATTCGAGAGTGACAATCCCTTCCACACTGGAGACAAATCCAGTCTGTCCCCTGTCCAGCTCCCTGGTTTTGCTGCTTTTGTGAATATAGACCCTACTAACATCTGTTATAGCAGCCTACAACTCTCATGCTG